TTTATATGTCGCCTTTCGATTTTGTTTCTGAAAAATTGTAATTATTTAACTTAATTACCAATTCCTAATATTTGTTATTTCTTTTCCTTGATTTGTTTCTTTTCATCAGAAATTGCGCTCAAATTAAATGCAAATACAGAAAACGTGCCCAATAAATAAAAAAAATGCGATTAGTATTGCCATAATGCAACCCTGCTGCGAGGTTGCAAAATGTAGACGCGTAAAAAACATACCTTTGAGTGTGACAAAATGTAGACAGCGTCGTTTTCCAATTTTGTATGGGAAACAACAACACCACAGATTTTACGGTTAGAAAACGTCTTAAAATGTAGACGTCTACATTTTGAGACACTATTTGGAACGAATAGCAGGAATTTACATGATTTTACAGGGTGCTCTTCCTGTTCGACACCTTAAATAAGGCTTATTAATGGCGAAACCAGCTGTTCCTGTAAATCCTGCAAAACCTGCTATTCGTACTGCTGCTGGAACGCAACTATTGTCTTGTTCTATCCTCATTAACAACACAGTCGACCGGCATTTCACTTTAATCATCAGTAAGTATACAAGAAGGTAATAACACAATTAGGTGAATTGATAGGCAGGTCTAGTATTCTATTCAATTGGGAGTAGGATTTTCAACATCGATTTTTCCGATATCGATATTGTTCAGCCCGATATATAGCCATATGGATTTTACATGCAAAGAATTAAATCGATTCATGTTTCTTAAATATCGAACATTCCTACTTTCACCATATACAATAAATGCATGAACCAATTAGAACAGATCTCCTCCGGTTGAAAAGCAGCCATTTGAATAGCAATTGAGAAAAAAGTGTGTGACGTTCGTAATTNGAATAACACAATTAGGTGAATTGATAGGCAGGTCTAATATTCTATTCAATTGGGAGTAGGATTTTCAACATCGATTTTTCCGATATCGATATTGTTCAGCCCGATATATAGCCATATGGATTTTACATGCAAAGAATTAAATCGATTCATGTTTCTTAAATATCGAACATTCCTACTTTCACCATATACAATAAATGCATGAACCAATTAGAACAGATCTCCTCCGGTTGAAAAGCAGCCATTTGAATAGCAATTGAGAAAAAAGTGTGTGACGTTCGTAATTTTGAAGTCTGCTATTTCTGTTTTGCTTCTTTCTTTATGTGTATTTTATCGGTGGTTTACTTCAGTGATTTTTAGCGACTTTCAATAAATTTTTTGTGCAAATGTAAGTCCCCTTTCAGACACGTCAAGTCTTGCTTTCAAGTCTGCTCGTTCGTAGGCGAAGGAGGTGAGAAGAGAGGGGAAGAGTACAGATACCTCCGTACCGTCAATTCGTTTCAAGTTTTCTTGTCTCTTTTGATCTTTTCGTTGCTTCCCATTTAAAGAACCAAGGACTTGAATTCAATTAAAGTTGACGCGTGTGAAAGCAAATAGAAAACACAAAAGAGAATGCGAAAAAAATTGCTTTCAAGACTTGACGTGTCTGAAAGGGGACTAATTAAAACGAAGTGCGCGGTAATTGGTTGCAAAAACACGTACAAAATAATAAATTGGTTAGCACAAACATGTGCTGCAAAATTGCTTGCAATTTTTTTATTTATGCTTCGTCTTCATATACTTCGTTTACTTTTCAAAGAAAATAACATGGCGCCGAAATTACAAACGTCAGTCGAAAAATTACTTTTTTCTTTTGCTTCTTGTCAGATCTCGTGTAGTTGGATCATGCAATAAGTAGGTATCGGATAAAGNTTGTCTTGTTCTATCCTCATTAACAACACAGTCGACCGGCATTTCACTTTAATCATCAGTAAGTATACAAGAAGGGAATAACACAATTAGGTGAATTGATAGGCAGGTCTAGTATTCTATTCAATTGGGAGTAGGATTTTCAACATCGATTTTTCCGATATCGATATTGTTCAGCCCGATATATAGCCATATGGATTTTACATGCAAAGAATTAAATCGATTCATGTTTCTTAAATATCGAACATTCCTACTTTCACCATATACAATAAATGCATGAACCAATTAGAACAGATCTCCTCCGGTTGAAAAGCAGCCATTTGAATAGCAATTGAGAAAAAAGTGTGTGACGTTCGTAATTTTGAAGTCTGCTATTTCTGTTTTGCTTCTTTCTTTATGTGTATTTTATCGGTGGTTT